CTAAATACCCAAAATATGTGAGGCAGAACCTCAAAACTCCTTGTGCTAATTAGAGCAACTTGGTTTCACTCTCTCTAGGACACACCTCTTGGCAGTCCATAGTATGTTCAAAACTCTTCTCCAGCACCACAACTCAAAGACATTAATTCTTCTTCTGTAATTGGTCATTGTCCAGCTCTCTGGTGCACAGCAAGTAATTGTTGGGCAAAAATCTGCTATTGTTGTTATGTGCAATAAAGTCAAAACTGATTCATAGCTGACCCACAACTGGGTTTTCAGAAGCTGTAATTCACATGAGTGGAGATCACCTTTCACTCCCAGAGTAGCTGTTGGATTTGAACCACATACCTTTGGGTTGGCAGCACAACTCTATAACACTAGGCCACCAGTGATCCCTGCCAATGTACTGGGTAGAGGCTATGATAAAGAATTACAGAGAAAGCCAAAGAAGCCTCAGAGAGCCGAGTGTCCATTTAGCAACACCGTAAGAGAAAGACCAAATGATATACTTCTTTTGGGGTTAAAGACAAAGTCAAACCATAGAAAAACACAACCCAAAGAAATTCTATAAAGGAGTTCTGTTCTGAAACACACAAGACATTCCTGAATCAGAGTCAACTCAACGCAACAAGTTTGTTTTTGAGAATAAAGATAAACCAGCAGGTTCAAATTCTGCCACTGCCAATCACTTACAGTGGGATCTTGGGACAGTCACTTAACTTGTCTGTGACAATTCGTTTCATCGTCTGGGACTCACAGCTATCAAAATGAAGTGAATCCATTATTGTTCAGTGTACAGTAAGTGCTGCATGAGCTCTGTTATAATCCAGTGGGACAGACTGACAGAAATGAGGAAACGAGTAAACTTCTAATTGCAAGTTGTGGTGAGTTCTTATCAACAAAGGCTGTTATTGATGGTAACAGACAGTAACAGGGTATTATAAATGGTAATCAAATGGTGTATTGCATTGGGAAAATCTATTGTCAAAGACCTCCAAAGTGCTAAAGAACAAGGATTTTAGTTTAAAGACTGAAGTGCAAGCCATGGTCTTTTCAATTACTTCCTATTCATCTGAAGGCTGGGCAGTGAATAAGGATCACAGAAGAAGAATCAATGCCTTTGAATTGTGACGTTGGAGAAGAGAACCGAATATTCTGTGTTGTTGTTCTTGTTGTGTTCCATTGAGCCAGAATCGACTCAGAGCTGATCCTTAGTGCGTTTTCAGAGGCAGTTAATCACACAGGAGGAAATTTCCCATCTTTCTCCCACAGAAGAGCTGGTGGTTTTGAATCATATGCCTTTGGGTTGCTGGTGCAACTCTTCACCTCTAGGTCGCCAGAGCTCCCTGAAGATCCCGTGGATTGCCAAAAGAACAAACATGTGTTTATTGGAGGAAGTGCAGCCAGAGTGCTCCTGAGAGGCAAGGATGATGAGCCTTCATCTCACCTGGCATGTTCTCAGGAGGGCTAGTCCCTGGAAAAAAACATCATGTTGGGAAAGGTAAAAGGGTCTGAGAAAGAGAGGAAGGCCCTCAATAAGACGATTGACACAGTCACTCCAACAGTGGACTTGAGTATGTCAGAGATGGTGAGGATGGCTTTGGAGAAAGAACAGGTTCAGATTTGTTGTTCATAGGATCGCTATGAGTTGTAATTGACTCCAAAAGTTCCTAACAACAGCAACAACAACAACTTTAAGCAGCTAAACCCCAATTCCAGAAGCCAAGCATCCAGGTCTCCAGTGTCCTCTGTGGTTCTCAGGACAAGAAGCCCGTGCTACTGCATCCATTTAGACCAAGAGGGACCCTGTTGAGTGGAGTGGAGAGGTTTTCAGTGCTGAGAGTCTTTGTGGAGTCATGCTGCTTTGTCTTTCTCCCACAGTGTCTGCTGGGTGGGGACACTGGCCTTTCAATTGGACATGGTGTTCTAGTGCTGTGCCACTAGGAAGCCCAATCAGAAAAGTGCCACTAAAACCAGAATGCAAAATATGGTGGGGAGAATAAAAAAATCTGGGCTCAATTAAAAAAAAAATTAGTAGATAGTAACAAAAATCACAGGAGAATAAGGATCAATTGGAAGTAAAACACTAAAAGGAATATTCTACAGAGATCAGACTAAGAGAAAGAATGAGTCATTTGCAGACTGTGGTTCTGAATATGTTTACATAAAGCAAAGATACCCATGAAAAACAAGCTGATGAGAACAGTGAACAAATGGAAGAACAAAATGAGAGACTCAACAAGGAGATAGAAAATATACTAAAACAAGGGGAAAGAAAACCACAAACAGAACTACTGAGACTGAAGAATAAAGCAGTTGTATTAGAAAAAAGCAAAAGACACATTCAACAGCAGAGTCCAAAATGCAGGAAATACAGAATAAACAAATGAGGACACAAAATGACTGAACTTATCAAGTCTCAAGAGAAAAGAAATTAAACAAACTCACATGGAAATATGAGACTTAGTAAGAAATCTCACATTAGGATTGCCAGAATCCCAGGGCACCATGACAACAGTAAACACTTTGAAGCAATTTCCCAAGAGATAATCAGAATATCCGCGACCCCAAGAACAGATACAGAAGGTGCATAAACACACTTAGGAGAGCACAAAAAGGTCAACCCTTTGTCACATCTTTTAAAAAAAAATATCTTGAAAACCACAGAGAAGGAGGGAAGTCTGAACACAGCAAGAGAAAAGTGGAAGGTAATGTTTGAAGACTCTGGCAAAAAGAATCAGTGTGAATTTCTCTACTGAAACTCCAGAAACCAGAAGACTATGCCATGGCGTAAAGAAAATAGTTAACAGAAACATTTGCTAACCACACTTTATTCAGCTTGTTAATGGAGACACACCAGTACTACTGGAGAAAGAGGAGCATTATGTTTTTTTCTTTTTAATTTTTAGTTTTATTTTATTATTTTTTTTTGTGTGTGTGTACTGTCAAATCAGAGCTGACTGGTATAGGAGGAGATTGTTCCTTCTTCTCCAGCAAAGCATCTGGTGGATTTGAACCGTGCACCTCTGGGATTGCAATACACTTCCTTGGCTCTAGGCCACCAGATCTCGCAAAAGAGGAGCATTATTGAGAATATAGATTTATTAATGTTGTATGTTAGTCAGTTTTCATGTTAAATGTTATTGAAACTCTAAGTATGTAACTTATCTGTAACCACCAAGAAATTGGCGAAATATTCAGGAATAAAAGAAGGAAGAAAGCAAAAGGATCATTGCAAGAATGGAAACACTTGCAAAAATAGACCATTTTTAGTAATGACACTGAATGTGAAAGGTCTCAAGGCAAAAGACAGACTCAAACCCAAACCTGACCAATTCTTCCTCTTCTACAAGAAACATACTTTAGACACAGGACACAATCAGATAGAAAACAAAAGGATGTATTAAAGTATCACAACAGGCTAAAAAGACAATTTTGAAGACAACTTCTTTATCAAGTTTAGATCTTTTCACTGTTGTAGTTTGCCTCCACTTGCAATCCATGGCTGAGCATCTTTCCCTTCTATTAACATAAGAATAATCATTCCCTTCTATTAACATAAGAATAGGGCCTTCTGACCTTGTATGGAGGATGAACTTTTCAAGGAAGGAGAAGAAAAGTTTAAGAGCTACTGAAAGGTTTGCTCTAAAACACAGATTTTTCATCTCCTTTCCCTCTTTTTGTGATATTCTGAATTATTGCTGACAAGAACCAAGGACACAACCTAAATCGATAACCTAGGCACTTCCAGGTCTCAACAACCTTAACTCTGCTAAGAGATGTTAAAAAAAAAAGAAGTAATAATGGAAGAAGTTCAAGCTACATTAAGGGCACTGGCAAAAAATAAGGTCCCAGGAACTGATGGAAGAACAATTGGCATGTTTCAACAAACAGGTACAGCCCTGTCTGTGTCAGTAAATTTACCTGGTCCACTTAATGCAAAAGATCCATATCTGTTCCTATTCCCAAAAAGGTGATTCAAGAGAATTAGAAAATTATTTAACAATATAATTAGTATCAATGCAAGTAAAATCCTGTTGAAGATTACTAAAATATGACTAGAACAATATATTGACAGAGAACGGCCAGAAATTCAGGATGGATTTAGAATAGTACACAGTGAAAGGATGAATCTTGGCTGAAAGCAGAGAATACTGGAAAGGTGTCTGTATCTTATTGACTATGTAAAGGCCTTTGACTGTGGATCTTAAAAATTTATGGATGGCATTGAGAAGAATGGAAATCCCAGAAAACTTAATTTTACTGATGTGAAACCTTTACCTAGACCGAGCTATTGTGAGAGCAGAGCAAGGGAACACTGCATGGTTTAAACTCAGGATAGGTGTGCATCAGGGCTGTGTCCTTTCTCTATAGCGATACAATTAATTTGTGAAGCTGGACTCTATGAAGGATGCAGCACCAAGATTGGAGAAAGATTCACCAGCAACCTGCATTATGCAGATGACACAATCTTGCTTGCTGAAAGTGAAGAGGATTTGAAATGCTTGCTGCAGAGGATCAAAGACTACACAGACTCCAATATGGATTACATCTCAACATCAAAAAACCAAAAATCCTCACCACTAGGCCAATAGGCACATTGTGACAGGTGGAGAAAAGACTGAAGCTTTCAATGATTTAATCTTGCGTGGATCTACAATTAACACCCTTGATACTGTTATTGTGTGCCATCGAGTTGGAACTGACCCATAGCTAACCCTCCAGTGGGCTGTCAGAGGTTGTACATTGTGACGATGATTGTCCATCTTTCTCCTATGGGGCAACCAATGGATTAGAATTGTCAGCCTTTGGCCACCAGAGTTCCCGGAAGGAATATTGTGTACCCCCGAGTCAGAGCCAACTCATAGCTGATCTTCCAGCAAGTTTTCAACCCTGGTTATTTCAGTAATGGAGCATCAATCAGAAAGAACAATTCCAGTTTCTTGGAGCCTGTCGTCCCTTTGGTACTCTGGGACGCACTGTACCTGGAAGAGCTTTACCTGGATGGGATGCTTGGGCGGCAATCAATGAACTCTCGCAACTTGATGGCAGCCATGGTTGATAGAAATCTAAAAAAAAATGACAAAGTGAATATTCTTTTTTAAAATTTTTAAAATTAATTTTAATGAAAATTTAGAGACTTTGGATTTCCATTCATTCATTGTTGCTCTTTTCTCCCTGCCCACCCCTCCCCCCACCCAGTTCACTCTTCTCTTTGAAAAGTAAAAGAAAAATTCTTTCATTGTTTTACAATTGCTCCCTCTAGGTCCCTTCCACTATGCAGCCTTCATTCTGGACTCCTGTCATGACAATAATACGTAATCACGTATCCCTTTTAAACAGTTTTCTCCCTCATCTGTTTCAATGCCATGTACATTATTTATCCCATCTCCCTTAGTCTTGCCCCAATCCCTATGTCAGTCCTGTTTTACAACAGTAGCTCTATGCAGTATTTGTCCCCTTGTGACTGACATATTTCACTCAGCATAATGTCCTCCAGGGTCACCCATTTTGTATAATATTTCATGAGTTCCTTGTTTTTCAATGCAGCATAGTATTCCATTGTGTGAATATACTACAGCTTCTCTATCCCTTCATTTGTTGATGGGCACTTAGGTTGTTTCCAACTTCTTGTTATCATGAACAAAGCCGAGATAAACATGCATGTGCATATATCTGCTTGGGTGGCAGTTAGGGTCTTTTTGGGGTATATTCCCAGTAGTGGAATTGCTGGTCAAATGGTATCTCTATTTGCAACTTTTTGAGAAAGTGCCATTCCATCTTCCCAGTGGTTGCACCATTTTACACTCCCACCAACAGTGAATAAGGGTTACAGTTTCTCTACAAGTTTACCAGCATTTGTTGCTTGCTGTTCTGTTAAATTTTGCTATTCTGATTGGGGTGAGATGATAGCTCCTAGTTGTTTTGATTTGCATTTCTCTTAGAGCTAGGGATTTTGAATATTTCTTAATTTGCTTGTTTGCCATCTGAATGTCTTCTTCTGTGAAGTGTCTGTTCAGATCCCGTGCCCATTTTTGAATTGGATTGTTTACCTTTATCTTGTTGTGGTGTAATTACTTTTTATTTTCATCAGTTAGTATCTCTTAATTTTCAGCAAGCAAGGTTGTATCAGCTGCATCTCACAGATTGTTAATGGGTCTTCCAGCCCTCCTGACATTGCTTCTTTTTCATATAGTCCAGCTTCCTGGGTTATTTTCTCAGCATACAGATTGAATAGGCATAGTGATAAGATACAGTCTTGACATGTACCTTTCCTGATCTTAAACTAGGTAGTATAGTCTTGTTTCCTGCAAATGACTGCTTCTTAATTTATGTACGGATTCTGCATGTGCACAATTATGTATTATGAAATAGCATTCTTCAAAATGTTATCCATAATTTGTTATAGTCCACACAGTTGAATACATTTTCAAAGTCAGTAAAACACAAGTAAACATCTTTCTCATATTCTCTAGTTTCAGCCAAGATCCAACTGATGTCCGTACGACTAACCTCTCATTCCTTGGCCTCTTCTGGACACAGCTTGAATTTCTGGCAGTTCTCTGCTGATGTACTACTGCAGGTTTGGGTTTGTGTGTTTTTTGTTTGTTGTTTGTTTTTTAGATTATCTTTAACAAAATTTTACTTCTACGTGATTGTAAAAATAGTTTGAAAATGTCTTCATGTTATTGAATCAACTTTCTTTGGAATATACACAAGCAAGTTTTGGATGTTGAGGATATATTTTTTGGGTGGTCACTATCTTTACTCTCCTTGTAAAGTGGCATTGCCTTGTAAAGTGTTCCTCATTCACCCAAGTCCTCGATGCATACATCCAGAATGAATACAAAACCAAAGAAGTTAATCACTCAGTAACCTGGTAACTGTGTAAGCTTTGGTGGTGTTGTATCATGCTGTTGTCATTGACTGTCACTCATGGTGACCTCATGTACAGCAGAAGTAAACACCATCTTGCTCTGCAACATCTTCACAATCACCAGCTGAGGTACTGCCAATCCAGCTCACTGAGAATTCATCAGCCTTCAGGGACTTTCTTTGTCACCAAATATGAAGTTCTCCTTTGACGAACAATCCATTCTGATGGTATGTCCAAAGCAAATTGTCACACAAAATTCTGTAGTCATTGAGAAAGGTTCATTGGCCGATATTAGGTAAGGAATTTCTAGGCCTTTCTCTTTTAGTCTGTCTTAGTATGGAAGTTCAATTGAAATATGTCCACCTTGGTAGTGTTTGGAATACTAGAGGCTAGCTTCCAGCATTATAAAATCACATGTTGTTGTTGTTGTTATGTGCCGTCGAGTTGCTTGCGACTCATAGTGACCCTATGTACAGCAGCCCTAAACTCTGCTCTGTCCTGTGCCAATCGCACTGTCTCTGACACTCCCATCCCAATTATCCCAGTCACTGAATCAATCCACCTCATAGAGGGCCTTCCTCTCCTGTGCTGTCCCTCCACCCTCCCAAGCATGATGTCCCTCTCCAAGGACCGGTCTCTCCTCACAACATGTCCAAAGTATGTTTGACAGAGCCTCAGAATCCTTGCCTCCAAGGAGCCATCCGGTTTAACCCTTTCCAGGACAAATCTGTTTGTTTTCCTAGCAGTTCATGGTATTCTCAATACTGTTCTCCAGCATCACAGCTCAAAGGCATCAATTCTCCTTCTATCCTCCTTGGTCATTGTCCAACTCTCTGATGCATAACAAGTGATTGCGAAGACCATGGCCTGTATCAGACGCACCTTAGTCTCCAGAGAGACACTATTGCTCTTCAGTACTTTGGAGAGGTCCCTAACAGCAGACTTTCCCATGGCAATGCACCTTTTAATTTCCTGGCTGCTGGTGCCAAGACTGTTGACAAACCACTTAAACACACGTAGAGGCATACATTTCTCTCTTTCTCTGTATGTGAGGGGATATATATATCCCAAGTAATTTAGGCTTACAAGTCATACTTGACTCGACAGCAATTGTCTACAACAACAACAACAACAACAATTAAAACTTAATAGGAATATTAATTTAATTTCAAAAAGAATTCTCTGTAAGTGGAGAATATAACATATAAGAGGTTTACATAACATTTCTTTAAAACATGAACTTTTGACTCTACAACATTCAAAATACATATAATCATTGGTTAATAAAACTGCTAAGTTACCATGGTTAGCAACAGTTGTACCAAGGTTACCTGCTCGGATTGCAGTGGGTGGAGGTATGTGGTTAAAAGGAGCCCTCTGAATACATAGACAGCTATTTTTGGCTGATTCCTGTCTTTGGACATGCAAAGGCACACTGCAGCATTGTGAGACTTGATCCTTTTACATCATTCAAACACTATTGTGATGTACTGTGGGCTAGAAAGTTTGGCTAAGCAATATCTTTCAGGTCTTGGGCTTGTAACGTGTAGGAAGTCTTTTCGTGTCTGTGGACTGCATTTGGACTAAAAGGTAAAAGTATGTAGGAAAATAACCTATAATAGTTAATGATGAGGACTTTCTTTTCTACAGAGATTGCTTCAGGTACAACATAATGGAAAGAAACTGAGTGGTGATGAGATTGTGACTAGCACTGGCCTTGACAAGGTAGAATTGAGAAGTTAGGATTGGAACCAGGAACAGGAGAGTCAGTCCTGTCTGACTAGGTTCCAGCCCACTGCTACTGGCAGCATTCAAAGATATTTTTAATATTTTAAAAATATTATTCAAGTAAATCAATAGATCAATATTTTAACAATACTATACTGATATACCAAGTCATAACTTAAGAAGAGAAGAAAGGCAGAGATGTTCATTTAAAGCCAATCTTTATTAAAAAGACAGAATGGAATAAAAGATCAGAATTACCTACTCTTGGATACAGAAAATGTTTTAAGCTAAATCATGTTTTAGCCAGGAAGGAAAAGATCACCATAAACTTCCAGACTGCATATCAGAGATCAGAGCAGGTTTGAAATTCTCACTGGGAGCTTAACCCATACAACATCTATCTTTCTAATATTCAGACTCACCTGCTTCTGTGTCTAGTCTGTTTTTAAAAAAATATATCTTAAAAGGGCTTGATTATATACTGGTATGACTTCATTCACAAAACAAAGAAAATTCTATTTTCCAATGAGACCATATCCGCAAGGATACAAGTTTGTTTTGACTCAACCGCAATGAGTTTAATTGAATAATAAAGAGCATTGTTAGCTATAGTGCTAGAAGGTGAGGTTCTCAGGTTGGAAGATATTTAAATATCAGTGGAAAGAGCTGCCTCTTCAAAGTAGAGTCTACCTTAATAATGTGAATGGACTAAATCTGTCATTCAATGATGTACCTTCATTAACTGATGTGGCATGACTCAAAATAAGGAGAAATAGCTGACAGCATCTATTCATGATTGTGACATGCACAAAGTATGACTCTAGAAATCTTGGAAATTGTTACAGATGATATGGGCCACATCAAGAACAACCTCATAGTCATTAGTGAGCTGACATGTACTGTATTTGCCATTTTGAATGCTGTTATTGTTGTTACATGTTGTTGAGTTGCCTGCGACTCATAGCAACCCTGTGTACAACAGCTCTTTTGAGACAATCATGTAGTCTACTATGCCAGGAATGACAAATAGATGCAGAATGGTATCAAATTAATTGTGAAAAAGAATATTTCAAGATCTGCCAATGCAGTGAGAAGATGATATCCACATGCTTACAAGGAAGATCTGTTAATAAGACTGTTATCCAAATTTATGTACCAACCACTAAAGCTAAGGATGAAAAAAACTGAAGACTTCTACCAACTTCTACAGTTTTAAATTGACAGACATGCAATAAAGATGCATTAATAATAAGTGGTGTCTGGAATGCAACAGTTCAAAGTAAAAGAAGGATAAAAATACAGCCTTGATAGAAATGAGGCCAGAAGTCACATGACAGAATTATGCGTGACCAACAAGTTGCTGTCAGGTGCTGTTGAGCCATGTAGGACTCATAGCAACCCTGTGAACAATAGATCTGAACTCTGTCTTACCCTGTGCCAGCCTTACAGTT